TTTAAATTTTGTTTGTCAGTGGATTTTTTGTTGTGGGCTTCTCAGTACTGCAGCTTTTTCATTTTTGTGACACTGTCTTTGGATAAACAAAATTTTGAATTTATATGAAGTTCAGTTCATTTTTTCTTTCCTAGCTCATGTTTTTCTGCTCATAAAAGTCTTTTCCAGGCTCAAAGTCACCAAGATCTTCTTCTATGCTTTATTTTACAAGTTTTATCTCTAATACATATATTTGCTCTAAATCCATTTTGAGATAATTTTTATTTATGGTGTGAGATAAAGGATGAGATTCTCTCTCTTTTTCTTTCTGTATGTCTGCTGAAAAGACATCCTTTGTCAATTGAATTATCTTGGCCTATTTGTCACAAATTATTTGATCACAAGCAATGGAAAGTAGAACAAACAGAATAAAAACAGGAATGCTGGTACGTTGTAAAAATTGTAACCAATCTCATAAAATAATTAGTATAAAAATTAAATGGGAGCCTAATTTGCTTTGCAAATTTTCACCAAAAACACACACAGAAAAAATTTAATACAATTGTCCATATGTGTGGACCTATTTCTAGATTGCATTCTTTTCCATTTATATCTTTCTTATACCAATAGAACACAATCTTGATTACTGTAGTGTTATGGTAAGCCTTAAAATCTGGAAATGTATGAGGGAGGGGAGAGCAGGGAGGGAGGGGAAAAATGAGGAGCTGATACCAAGGACTCAAGTAGAAAGCAAATGTTTTGAGAATGATGATGGCAAAAAATGTACATAATGGATGTATGTATGGATTTTGATAAGAGTTGTACAAGCCCCCAACAAAATGATTTAAAAAACAAAAAAATCAGGAAATGTGAATCCTCCAACTTTGTTCTCTTTAAAACTTGTCCAGCTACCCAGATCCTTGGCATTTCCATAGTGGTTTTAAAATTGACTTGTCAATTTCTATAGGAAAAAGTGACTCGCCAGTCAGGGTGCGATGTAGCAACGATGAAAAATACAACTTTCCTCTAGTTCCTAAATGCTTCCTCCCCGCCTCCACTAT